AAAACATTAGCTCACTCCTTAGACATTAACCCACATTTTCAATTCATGGAATAGGTATAGACCGAGCATTCTACACAGGAAAGACAAATATACAATTATTTCTTTTTGGGCACAAAGCATGTAACAGTATTTGCATGTAAGCAGAAAATTTTAACTGTATCTATGCATGTATGCATGTGCGGATGGGTGTTTGTATGCCCCTACATATATTAGATACACATACTCCATTAATTATGCAGGTACTCGTGCTTTTTACAAGGGGAAGTAGATATCATTAAGAGCACCAAGTAGACAGCAGAAATGCTGTTTTGGGTAGATAATATCAGCATTTTAAAAGAGTTGAAAGATTAATTACAGATCAGTCACCATTTTTTATAAAGTGATGGTATGACTGAGTTTAAGGTTTAATTAACAAAGTGAAGAATATTAAAAGATACTTCAGGATAAGGGAAATTAATAAGAGTGGAAGAAACACTGGTGAATGAAAGACCAGATAGAAGACTGTTTATCATTCAAGGTAGACCTATCAGAATCTATCAGATTACAGTAATTTAATATCGGAACACAAATGGCAGATACATGATAGTATAACATTATGAAATTTGAAAAGGCATTAAACATATGTACCTCCTCCATTACGGTTTCTATGGCATGCACCATAAGAATCTATCGTGATATTAGCCTTTTCAAGCTCAAGAAGAGCCTGCAAACGAAAGTTGCGAGCACCACAATTAGAAATGAAAGCTGCTGCCAGGGCACTCTCAGTCTTTTGCTGCACTGGTGCCATGATATCATACTCAGCCCAGGAAAAATATCCAACAGGAACATCTGAAGAGAGGCTAGTCGTCATTACAATATTAAATCCACTCCTAATTCAAAAGAAAAATATTTTGTTAGTTTTACAAATATCTTGCCACCATAAGACTCTTTGGAGCTATGTTTTAGAGGATAGTATCCATTAATTAGCAGTGACACTAGTCAAACTCTTCAAGACAAAAAAATCAAACCCAAACATATCTCCATGGCCAGCCAGTTTCTAAAGGCAGCAGCCAAATCAACCTAACAAGATTTACCTGCATAAATGAAGTCTTTTCTCTTCAAGAAAATGAATACTCACACACAATCATGCATCCAACTTCTCTTCACATCTAAAAACATCATCTATCCATTCAACATTTTTATTTTGAAAGTAATTAGATTACAAAAATGAAAGAAAACAACATAACCAAATAAATTACAATGTGGGCAGGGGCAAGTTTTCTACTCCTCTTGCAATGGGCTGACTTTTTCTCATAAATCAAGAAAACATTACATAGCATTCATATTTTACCAAATCCATGATTAATGAACTGAACAAAAGGTCGCTAACTTTTTATTGGCCATGTAAAAATTCATGGGTTTAGTTTGCATAGCTCAAAAAGATCAAAAAATAGGAGAATTTCATATATATAGAAGTTTAAACTAATTTTTATGCTTGGTCACTGCATGAAACCTTTCAATCTACTTCCTAGAAAATGTTTCCAAGTAATATCAGTACTTTCTGAAACAAAACTGCTTTTCCACTTCCAAAGAAACAGAAACAACATAAAATTTCAGTTACATCTATTCTGTATAATTTAAGGTACCAAGTCTCTTTTCCAACTGGTGCAACAAGGGCGTAAAAAGCCAAAACCCCCCAAACAAACCAAAAAAAACTAAGGGGGCAAAAAAAGAAAGAAAAGCAAAAAAAACTAACAACAATCCCGGCCAAAACAAGGAAAAAAAAAATAAAAAAAAACTAAAACAAAAAAAGCCCAAAAAAAGCAAGAAAACAAAATAAAAAAAAAATTTAAAAAGAAAAAGTCAAAACAAAAAAAATAAAAAAAAAAAAAAAAACTTTTTAAAATAAGAAAATGCTGCTTAATATTGGAAAAGCTTTATCTCTTTAAAATGCTTAGTAAGTTGACAGGGACAGTGCTTACCCACCGTCGTGCCTGATCAATATTATTCTCTGAATAGTATTGGGATGACTCCATAGAACGCAGAATGCTAGCTACTCCAAGTTGTTGTTGCAAAGCAAAGGCAGCATCAGGATCCTTATCAGGATTATAAACAAACTTGCAACCAACTGGACAAGTTCTCCACTCCTACATACAACACAATAGATAATTTTTGGTTGTTTTTGGTTGAACACTCATATCAAAGCAAGCCTATCAAGAAATTTAACTCATGAACAAGAAAGCTGAGAAGAATAAAAAATAAAATAAGATAGATTCATTAGATTCAAATAGGCATTGAATCATTTGGCTCCAACAAATGATTTATATCTCTAGGCCAGAAGCTTGTGATCTCCAAAATGATTCTAAAGGAAAATTGTCATGATACCACAGTAAACTCAATTTGAAATTCACAACTAAAAGGGGAAGGTGCTAAAACCAAGAACTATCTATCTTATGGAATCCACTTCCTAAAACAAGAAAAGAACATAGGCAGGCATCATATCTGAGAACAGCTTCATTGTAAAAATGATATAACAAAAATAATAATAATAATAATAATAAAGAAAAACCCCAAGGTCAAACAGTGAACAAACCTGGTCACCACCAGAAATAATGATAGGATCCTTGTTAAAATCTCTTGAATAAACCACGGAATCCGCTCTCTCCAACCACTCCTCGCAGCGCTCTGGAGAAGACTGCCGGCGGTTATCCATCTGTCGAACACCCAAATCACCAGCTAAGGGCGGTGTTTTATAGAATAAATCGGGCCATGAATCAAAGAAAGCAGTGTTTTTGGCCATATCAAGTCGACCCAGCAAAGCAATCTCTGCTACAACCACAAGAGCCACAAAGAGAGGCATCAACTTGGACCATTTCTTCTTGTTAGCGGCAGAAGTCGAGGAGGAGGAAGAAGACAACCCATCAGAAACGGATCCCTCCTGGGTTCTTGGTCCCCTTAGATTTAACATAATACCCTTCAATCAAAGAGTTTGCTTTCCTCTTTCTCTCGGTCAGGGCGTGAGTCTGCAAAGAAATTAAGGGAGACGAAAA